CCTGGACCACACGGTGACGTCTCGGCCAACCAATCTAATCTAAACCTGCAGTTTACCTGTGCTTTTTATAGGGAGCACCCTCTAGTGTCATTGGCTGCCACAACACCACAATTACCCTGCCAGCAGGTGCAATTCATCCTGCCACATTCATAAAAACTAAACAGCCTACAGTATTGTTAGTCTTTATTTTACAGTTCAAATATATGTTTATCAAATAAAGTCTAATGTTAAAACTAATCATGGATCCCTTTAAGACAAAGAAGAATTTGTTAACAAATATGTTGGACGTGACCGTATCTGATGAAAATGTCGAGGTTGTCGTTGACACAAACTACTGTATCTGGTCCGTCAGACATCTTCCTACACCAAACAACAGATGAAAGCCTATAAAAGTCTGGAGAAATATAGCTTTTTGTGTCAGCAGGTGGGTCTGCAACCTTGGTACCAAATGATTCCACGATGATTATAGTTTGGTCTTCCCCAGTGTTAGTGTTTGTTCTTATATTGTATGTTAAGATGCTAGCAGTAGTGGCTAACTTCTGCAAGCATCCAGCATCTAATGACACGTAAAGCTAGGGCAGCCTAAAAACTTCAGACTATTGGTAATTTAACAATCATTATTAAATGAGCATTTTACGACAACTTAATTCTACACAAACAGCCACAAAAAATTAGCTAACTTATCCACACTTCTGTAAAAGCACATGTAGGCTGCCATGACAAACTGCTAGTCCTGCCAAGCAATTTCATATTTTCAGTATGCAATGCGAGAACCAGAGATTCATTCATTCAGAGAGTTATGGTAACAACAAAACCAGTTTGTTTTTGCTTGAACTGGTGGCTTGAGCAGTTCAATAACAAGTTCAGGTTCAACTTGTGTTTTTGTCGACTGCCACAACAATAGAATAAAACTGAGAAACATGTTAGAAACATTTTGCCTGGAACAAAACAGTCTGATACTAGATAATCCCCTTTTTACTTTTCTCAGTTATAACAATTGGAGCAGCCATAAACTACACAAAACATGGGCATTTTTCAGATGTCAGATCCTCTGCTACTTCACTTCCTGCCCTTCATCTGTATTTTGCGCTCTTGTAGTATTGCATTGTGACACAACCTATTGCTTAGCTGTGCATATTTTCTCAAACAGTATTGGCTACAAGTCATTATCCAAAAGTTGATGAAGGTTCAGGTTTTCAGCTTGGATTTTACCGACTGTCCTCCTCATCCCACCCCACCCCACTCCCAGCACATCCTCTGACCTTTGAGCGCTTATAACTGTCGCAGTCACACTCGTCCTTCAGTCTTCCCTTATCAGCTGGGACCAAAACATTAAAAGAGGGAGGGTGCTGGAGACACTCGTAAAGATGGAGACATATGGGCTCAAAAGGCAGGGAGAAGGAGAGATAAAGACCATGAGAAGTGCAGAGAGGAAGTCCAAACTAAAGCCAGAAAAAAGCTTTAAATCAGAACAAGGAAAAAGAAAGAGAAGGACGGGAGTGGAGGCAGGAAGAAAAGGATTAGACGTTACAACAGAACAGATGACAACTTACAGCCCCGTCTTCCCAAGTTTGATCTTTAAAACGAGCGGGGCGGAGTCTGGCTGAAAGCAAACAGGCCTTTTACGAGGACCATTACGCAATTACCTGTTACTTTGACTGTCAGGGTTTTAAGAGCAGCCTGGCCTTGGAGTTACCTGGATACACCTGAGGGAGAGGCCACAGTCTGCACCAGAACCCCCATCTGTCTGCATAACCCCTTTCGAGCGCACACGCACGAAAACACACGGCAACCTATTAGCAGGACGTATCAGAGCCCATTTGACCTCTACCCTCTCCCTGACCTCCAGCTCCATCCCTCGGGGAGAGCCGGTCTGGGAGACGAAAGTGTGCGAGTGTACGTGAGAGGGTGGAGGGCCGCACCGCCATTGGAGCGTGAGCAAACACTGGTGGTCAAACACCTCCTCCACCCCCGTGGATTCTCACTTCCCCTGCCATCTCCGTGCTTCTCTTTTCTACCAAGATATTCATCAGGTTACGGCACCTTTTTTTGCCACACACATAAAACCCAATAAGACAAATATACTGTAGTTTTACTGTCAAATTACAGATCAACTCTTTATCTTGCTCTAAAGTGACAGAAAATATAATCAAAATGAATATTACTTTAGAAACTTGGCAACTAAAAATGTTGGAATGTTCTTACATGAATACAGTTATTAAGAATTGAGTTGTGTTATCTCAAATAAAATAAATGAAATGATGCTATGTGTTACCCAGGATATATCAGTCTATTTGTAGACATATTAAAATTACACTAAATTCCCTGTTTTTTTACCAAATCTATTGCAAAATTTCCCATCCAAAATGTCAATTTACAAACTCATCCATTTGATGAGTTTGATATGTAATTGGAAATGAAGCACTTTACTCAACTTCTTGCTTTGAACCTAAAAAAAGGCTTTTTTTTTTCAGTCTCTCTCTCTCTCTCTCTCCTAAAGGAGACATATCATGCATCTAAATTAGAGATGAGATAAATGTCTCACTAAAGGGGCCCGGAGCTTTAGGAGCTGTTTGTCTCATAGAGTCATTCAAAAGAGCCATTCAGTTTTGAACATCATCCTGTAGGGAAATAATTCATCACGTCCGGTATACACAATGATGTCATCATGTTGCATGGGTATGTGCTTCTTTAACCAGAAACCTATATCCCTTTCCCCTGAGTACTGCACCGCTTTACCTGTTTTCCATGAAAAAGCAAAGCAGGAGCAATTGTTTCTGTGGTTAAAGATGAAAAACTACAGATATTAAGAGGAATTAAAAAAAAACTACAAATGATTCTTTACAGGCTCCTATTGTTCGTTGCTAGGAGCCGTTCAAAAGAATCGGATTGTTTGTGAATGTCACATCTCTAAGTTAAATGCTTCTTTTTCACATTTAAATCATTCAGTTGGGGTCTATATGCAATGCTTTGGTTTGCATTCCTCCCTATTGTAACTCCACAAGCCCCTCTTTCACCCAAGGTGTGTTTCAGATCAACTCGCTTTGAGGCTGTCTCTTAAATTCAAACAAGGTACTTCACACCCCGCCCTCTTCCACAATGCTTTTTCCTTTATTTCAGTCTTTCACCCTCTTGAACTTAATATTTTATCAATCTGGCTTTTGAGGTGTGTTTTTGTGTTGTGTTTTGTTGTTAATCTTCCCAACTCAGACTGAATACTGTAAAAAAACTGGGCTTAATTTTGAGCCCACATTTTTTATTCCACACTCCACAATCCTTYGTTCTCAAGTCCAAAAGGGAACAAAAAAGTTCTTAATCAGAGGACCTTTCCCTCCCCGCTTCTTCCCGGGTCAACTGAAGGCTCAGGCATCAGGCTGCTTTGTGGCAGGTAAACATCATAAAACATATCGTAATTACCTTCATTTTTTAATGTGGTCATGTTACTGTTCAATTCGAAATACTTTAGTAAAATGTAATATTTCCCTCTCTGGTTTCTGTTTGTTTTTACTGAACAATATTTTGGCTATTATATTGCTGGTTATTGTAATGCAGCCTTTTGTGAACTCCTAAAACCTCAACACGTGTCAGTCCTTATAAGTTACACCAGGTTAATCCACGTTTCTATGGGTTTCATTGTCTTTCCAGCAATACCTGGTGGGCCAGTCTCTGTTCAAAATGCCCAGACTGATTTTTTGTCCCAGTCCAGCCCTGGGTGGCCTTCAAAGACATTTTCTTCCCTTCTAGGATGGTTAGGGGTTAATCGCTACCCTCAAGCAACAAATCTCTTATTTCTGAAAATGACTCAAACTGAACAAATGCAGCAAAAACACATTTTCTAAAGCTTGATTTATTCATTAATCTCCATGATTGAACCAGATACCACATACAAAATAATTATTTTATAAAAAGCCAGAATTGTCCTGTTGCTATCATAAAAATAATGAAACAACTCTGCCAAAATACTGCTACAGGAGACATTAAAAATAGAAACTGTAACAAAACCTTCTACATGAACATTGAAAAAACAAGCTATTATCTTGGTTTACTTAAATTCCCTATAAATACACATGAGGTATATAACATTTAAAATAATTTGAAACGTAAAACCCTTTGAGTGTTAGTTTCAAAGTAACAGGTGCCCACCCGTGAGAACACCACTTGTAAATTAAATATTTACATATTTCAAAGCTAAATGTTCAAGTTTTGTAACAGATTAACTCCCAAGGAAAAAGAAACAACTTTCACCAAATTAAGCCAGTCAAATTCTGATTTCTTATGAGATTAAAAAGCTAAGTCAAAAGATAAGTGTGAAAAACTGCACTGAAAAACATACAGCATAAGTAAACCCTCGTTTTTTAATTTAAATCATGTAAAAATGTGCAACAGAATAATAAAGTACTGACCTGTAATTTTGTGTTTTGCAAAACTTGTAAAATCAAAGATAATCAAAGATACATAGCATATTGTTTAATAGAGCGCAATTTTCCTAAATTTTATTGTCCACCTATTTAGTTTAAAAATCAGGGGTTTTAAAACTCGTCACCCACAGCCTCCAGTTTTTGTTCCTTTGACCTTGTACAGATTTCAACTCCAGTAATTCAATCTAACCAGCAGGGGACCACATCAAAATGAGACAAAGTTAGCAGGAAATATTCCAACCCGTCCATCCTCCGTTTGTCCCTCCCACCAGTCGTATTGTGACTCTGTCTTGGTGATGACCGTGATCTTGTCGCCAGGTTCAAAGCTCAGATCACCGGGCTGCTGCCCTATGAATGGATGAGTTGCTGTGACAACCAGCTGCCCAGTGGCACCGCCCACGGATGTCCCTGCATCTTTAGGGGAAAAAAGGCAATAAATATTTTGAAGACATTTAAAAAATGAAGTAGTTTGCAATGTTAATGCAGCTGAAATGTTTAAATTTACTTTATAAGGTTCAGGTTCAATTGTGCAAAAATCTGAAGTTACCTGATTCCTTTATTCAAATATTCTAATTCAAAATCAGTTGTTTTGAAAATTTACATTTTGTTGTATTAGTTAAGTTTGAAATTCAAAATGAGAACTTTTTTTTATAACTTTTGTATCTTCTGACATAATTCAAGGTTCAATTTTTGAGCCATTTCAATATCATGATGTGTATCAAAACCAAAAAGGTAATACATGATTGTTTACTAGACATTTAAAAGTTAAACTATGTAATTTAATTATTTTTATGATAAATGTGAGTGAATAGTCATACCGTAGCTTGGAGGGTTCCAGGTGTCAAACTGACCTACAAACCAGAAAAAATACCATGTAAAACAATCTACATGTTGTCATTCAACATCTTTTTTTTGTTAATTAATATTTTACTAATTTTAAGTTGAGTTCACAAACTTATGTAAAAATACTTTTTATAATAATATATTTTGGCAGAAACCCAGAGACATAGAGTCAAAAACAAACCTTGAGCAAAATTATTACAGAAACCATTTTAAATTAATTTGACATTAACATGCTAAATATTTTATTGCTTATTATTCATAAAAACAAAATCTATATACAGTAAAATAAGAAGTTAATCATGTTGTGAATGAAAAAGGGTGCAGAGTGAAAGAAAAAAAGCATACCTCTTATTTTTGAAAAAACAACTTCAACAAACTCAAATGATCTCCAAATTTACTAACTAACTAACTAAATAAATAAAATCTGATATCTTCATATCTTATTTCCATTAAATACTACACCTACTACAGAATTAGGTAATATTTTCAATGTGTTTTTTACATTACTTATAATATTCTCATGTCAAAATATTAACATATTTGACTCTGTGTGCGAGTTATGAAAAGTTTCTTACTGTAGCTCGGAGGTTTGCTGGAGACACTCTGACCTAAAGCAGAAAAAAAAAACCTAAAATAAATAAAATCCAGTATTTGATCTGAACAAAATAAATTTGTAACTAATGGTTTCTCTATGACTTTACTAGTGAAGAATAGGAGGCAAAAATCAAATAAAACAGTAAAGTCAAAGCAGAATATATTAATATAATTACAGAATAGTAAACTATTTTGTTTTTATTTAGAAATACTTTAAATATTTATGGAAATTACTTTAAATGGTTTCCACTATTCAGATTTGGATCTGTCCTTACATCCAGCAGTTTGATAAAATAGTTTGTTTTAAAACTAGTCTTCATGATTTGCAGGTCAGAGGTGGGGACACTAGAGGGTACTGCAGCCTAAAGAAATTGATTGTCCTCAGAAGTAAGGGCAAACTCAGCAGCAGCAGGCCAGTACATCACACTAATTTAACCTCCTGTGGACCTCACATTAGACCCTGATGGTTAATAATTTACCACACAAGAACAGGTTTATTGTCCCCAGAAAGACACTGAGTCCTCGTGTCAGTTTATCCTCAGCCATGCACAGCAGCAGGACTATAAATGAGTTTGTGTTGATCCAAGCTGCTGGAATAAGGTCACTTGCTGATAACAGACACCACTAAATCAACACAATGATTTGTTTCTTTGTGAGGAACAGCTCACCCATACTGTTCTCAGCTCCCTAAATCTAAATGCAGAAACCTAAATCTGACAAACAAAACAACCTTGAAATTAACCAAGACAGAGAAAAAACAATTACTTGATGTTTCAGACTTGTAGACAGAGAGACTTGGATAGGGAACATCCTTCTTTCCTGCTCACACACAAATACACAGAGTAAGCATATAAAAGAATAAAGTCGTCAGGCAATAAAACAACTGGTTTCAGGGTTTTACCAGAATTTGCTGCTGGCTGCTGCTGGCTGGTCTGTGAGTTATAGCTGGACTGTGGTCTTCGCTGGGATGGAGGTGGAGGTCTGGATGGCACAACTAGGGACTGCAGACACAAACACAGTTAACATTAAAAAGCAGTGACAACCACAAAGTGATGCCTTAATGTCAACAAGAAATAAAAAAGATAAGCAGAATGGGAAAACAGAGTTTAAAACAAGAGAACCTTAAAACAAAATGTAAATTCAGTCCAGTTTTTATATATACAAACATCGTCTCAGCAAACTGTACAATAATAATAATAATAATAATAATAATAATAATAATAATAAAACAAAATCAATCTAAGGAAGGAAGCCAGCAGATTGTGTTGAATCTTCACTTCATCACAGTCCACCATCCGGAGCAGCACATTGGCAACAGCTCCATCTCCATCTTATCTGTACTTGGGTCGGGTCATGGAGGCAACAGGTCCAGAAGAGAACCATCCCTCTCCCCAGCGACACTTTCCAGCTCGTCCTGGGGGACCAGAGGCATTCCCAGGCCAGAGAGGATGCATAAACCTTCCTGGGTCTTCCTCGGGGCCTGCTTCCAGAGGGACGTGCTCGGAACACCTCTAAAAGGGAGGCGTCCAGGAGGCACCCTAACCAGATGCCCGAACCACCACATTGACAACAGTGGAGAGGAAAAACCCCCTTAATACAAAGAAACCTCCAGCAGAACCAGACTCAGGGAGGGTCTACATCTGCCTCCACCAGCAGGGTTTGGTGGGACAGGAAAGAGACACATGGAAACACAGAATAACTGGTGAAAAACAACCTTACCAGGAAGAAAATATAGTTTAATAAAACAAAAACAAACAAGATACAGATACTCATAGACTCAATGGAGCAGAGCCACCACTTTCTAAAATAGTGGTGAAAACTTATATTTTGCTCAGCAATTTTTCACTTAAAATGCTCTTGCTGCAATAAAGAGGTTTAATCAATCTAAAAGTTTTTAGTTACAAACCAACTAAAATTCAATTTTTTAAACAATTGCTATGGTCCTACACTCCCCTTAGTTTTAAGTTGCATCAGTACAATTCATCTGAACACTGGTAGCCACCGTCTCGCTGTCAAATAGTCAGAGGTGGAGATGAGAAATCAAAGATTTAAACGTTTCAAACTTGTACTGGGTATTTTCTGGTTATAAATCAGAAAGAATAGTGCAAGAACACGGAGACCAAATTATTTATGAGCACATGATACCCACAAGTTTCGAAAAATGTGCTAATATAAATCCCTTAATTTATGATCCCTTCAGGATTATCACCCGCCTTTGATCGTAGAAGGCAGTAATCTTAAAAGCCTTACAAAAATGACTCCTCCTTCCACCCCCCAGCTGCATCGAGAAATTCTGTTCATAAAAGTTAGGCAGAATTAATGACACGGGAAGTCCTGGCAGTGTCCAAATCCCAATTTTTTTCAGAGAAAATAAATAAATAAATAAAATTTGAAGAAAAGCAAAACAAACAAACAAAAATAAGGGAAAAAACAAAAACACAGTGATAGTTTAACAAAGGATCACAAATGCCTAAAAATAAAAAGGTTTATTCAGAGAAGAGGCACACAATGACTCAACTACAAAGCATAACAAAATGACTAAAGAAATGAACTATGATTTAAAACATTTTCAAACATTTTAAATGGTGAATAAAATATATCTATATGAAGACCTTCAAAACACTCCAATTGATACTAACTTAATATTTTGTGTGGTCACTGAATGTTTTTAAAGGGATCCCTGATTAGTTCTAACATTAGACTTTATTTGACAAACATATCGTTTAACTGTAAAATAAAGACTGTAAAAATAC